TTTTATCTTTTTTATCTGACAAGGATACTTGGTAAGTAGTATAACAAAGTCCTGCAATTTGCCAGAGCAAACTTCTGTAGGGTTTCTTTTTTTAAACTTTGTTTATTAAGGAAATAAGGCTGATGGGACTGCTGTCCATCTGTCCGTGCAACATCTCATCGCTGTACTCCAGTAACTTCTGAACTGCTGGTCAACTGAAAGATGAAAGATGACCGTGTTTCTATCAGTGTAATGGGAACAACAGAGAGGCTCAAATTCATGCTGTGAACAAGAAAAAAGAAGGTAGAAATAGATGGTGATGGATGTCCATCCCTGAGGATGTACAGGTGCCGTATTCACAGCTCAAAAAGTAGACACAGCCTCAGGCCATTTCTTGACTGCCATCTCTGGCTGCTGTGAGAGATGTGGAGCTACCCACATAGTAGGGGAATGGGGCTCAGGCTGGCAACCACTAGGATCCACATTTTGCTGCTGCTGAAGTATAGGTGATTGGGGGTAAGGTGTCTCACTCGAGGAACCTATCCGAACAACGCCAGAAGAATGGCTTGTTTTGTTTTCCTCTTTCCTACAACCTGTCAGCCAAAGGTTCCCAAAGCCCTCTGCAGATGTAATTTAACCAAGTGACCAAGCTGAAAGGTATACACTGGCTTCACACGGGAGGGAGGGAAAGACCCACTGTCAGTCAGCGACTGCTCGAAGCAAACACGAGGACCCAGCCTCTCAGGGTGGGTTGCAGCATATGCTAAAAAGAGTAGGGCCCAGAGTCCTTCCCAGGGTTTCTGAATGCGAGCTGTGTGGGCAGGGACAGCAAGTTGTCTCTTGAGGGCCACGAGCCGTGAGGTAGCCCTCTGGGAACAGTACGCTCTGGGCCCTACGAAGGCCCTGCATCATAGAAACCTGGCTGTGTCCTGCCCAAAGAGAGGCCTCAGGACACCGGTGCATCCACCTACACAACCCTGGTTCTCCTAGTCTTAATCCTGTTCTTGAACATCCCTTCCGCAGGGCAGCACAGGAAGGCCATTTAGCTTTCCAAAAACGGTAACAGAAGTCACCAGAGCATCCTCTTTCGAGGCAGCAAAGATCAGTGGTAGACAGGTTACACACCTATGAAAAGGCGTGTGCACTTTCCATTCACCATTCAGACCATTAAATTGCTGCTTTCACGCTGTTCTTGTGCGCATAATTCTAAAACTCCAGCTGCCTGAGGAGCTTTAGGTCCAGTGAATAACAAACTCAGTCACACACAAAAGGTCTAATGCGTTTCCAGCAGCTCACAAGCAACCTCCTGATGCTGGAATGACCCTAAAGGCTGGACAGTGCCCTCAGTTTTTGTTTTGCTCCTCTTTCAGGACTCTGCCTGTAACACACTTGTTTCTGACAGACTCTTCTTTTGTCTCTGAAGCATTAAAACTTGGAGGAATCTTTTGTGGTGTGCAGTGACTGTGGGCTTAGCCTGCGCTCTCTGCCCACCCGAGGCTGCTGAGGACTGGGGTCTGGCCTTTCAGCCCTCTCATACTAAACTAAACTGCTGGATTCAGCTCTTCAACAAAATCCTGGAAGCTTCCTGCAGCATTAACCACAGCTCATACTTTGTAAGCTGAGCCCTCAAAAGCTGTGCAAATCTAAAATTCCAGTATCCCTCTTCACTGTATCTCTAGAAGATGAATACTTTGTCTAGAACATACCTCTGTCTGTGCACAACTAATGGTGTTAGCCATTTAAAACATCCAGATGCTTTCATGTTTTCAACTACAGTTTGACGATACACACACACACACAGAAACACTGTGAGTGGAGACCTGATTGAGGAACCTGTTTCCCCTCTGCATCAAAACTGAATAGCAGTGAGTGGAGACCTGATTGAGGAAGCTGTTTCCCCTCTGCATCAAAACTGAATGGGATGGAAGGCAAATAGCACAAAGAATTTCTAAAGGATATAAATAAATTGAATCTTTACTGTTAGTAATCATACATTAATTTTAAAATTACTTAGGAAATGAGATTTGCTCTGTAGATCAATAAATTCTTCATATAAATCCACTTGAACCGTAGTAACTTAAAAGGTCTTTTCAATGGGAACATTCCCCCGGAGCAACTACTCAGCATACAGTCCTTTCTACCACCTTCCCAAAACCAGCTGCCCTTAAGTCGGACACAGTAACCTAGACAAACGCAACTGGACGTGACGTCTAAGCTCCAAATTCAGTCAACGCTACCAGCGGTCAGTTTATTTCTTTAACAACAACAAAAAAGCAAGTGCTTGTTTTAGACAGTCTGGGCCGTTGAGAAAGACCTCACATAGAAGAGGAAGCTTCCTGCACAGAAGCAGCAATATTTTTTAATCAGAAAACTATGGCAAAAAACCCCCAGCAACCTAGACATAAATAAAAACAAGTACATGGGATCATTACCCAAGTCCAGACTCTAATGATTTCTAATCTGTTTTGCTATAACCTTATGCCATGGGAGTCCTTGCTGATTTACATGGAGCTATCAAAACGAGCTACAATTTGGCATGAAGGAAAGCGTGGCAGAATCCGGCCACAGCTTCCAAGTAGTCTAGTCCTTAGCCACCCACTCGCCATACAACCGAAGTGAATGTTTTCAGCGCTACACTCGATGCCTTTGGCATTGACAAGCCAACTTTTGAATAAGCTTTTTTTTCCCCCCCCCTCCCATATACATATAATTATATACAAGCCTCCAAACAGCTAGAAGCTCCATGTTCTTTTTTTGTGTCGTTTATTTCTCGTGAATACCCATACAGCACAAACCCAAACCACATTCATGATAACCCTGTTAAATATAAACTAGTCTGCAATTATACAAACTGCTAACACAAACAGAAAAGGCAGGAAACTCTGATTATATGTTCACAATAGGTTCTGAAAACTAAATAAAAACAACATACTGCAGCCTGTCCTGTGTGATACTGTAATAGAAAATGGTTTCATGTTACAACATAACTTACATGTCTAAGCACAGAGGACTAGTCTTTCAAACGACACATCAAACTCAATTTCAAACCCACTGCAAAGAGAGTGAAAGGGTGGGAGGAGAGACAGCAGAGGTACAATTTTTTTTAATTAAAAAAAAATCTCTGATTTTCTTCTCTGCATCCTCCTTCAGGTGAGCTAATGTCTATCTCGGGGCAATCGCCGCGACTGCTGGTCTCTGTTCCCCACAGCGTGCTGGTAAGGGCAGGCCGCGTGCAGGGTGTTTGCCTCCTTCCTCTCCATTAAGAGAGCAGCAGAAGGTCTGCTTGAACTCTCCGTTCTTGCGCTAGTGCCAGCAATGTGCATGCCTGTGATTTATCTTTTGTGCAGGGAAGAGCGAACCTAGCAAGTGGAGTTTGTAAGATGCCTTTCCATTGAGATGAGAGGTAAATGCTAGAATAATACTGCCTCTGTGTGTGAACCGCCTTCTTGGGCCCATCCCACTCCTTCAGCTGTTGTCCGTTTGTGATATATAGAAATATATATACATTTTCCAGACTAGAAAGAAATCTACTGAGTAGGAGCCAAACTCTGTACATCTGCAGTGTCATGGTAGTCAGCAAAGCTATGAGTATAAGGGAAATCTCTCCTTCAAAAGCACAAACCAGGACCAGGACACTACAACAGAGACTATCTCACTTAGCACTCCAGGAAGGTTTAGTCAGGTGATCTCCTTCATCATCGACTTTTGCTATCAATTCAGTCTATTGGCACACTAGCAGAGTGGAAACTGTGCAATGCTGGAGTCCTGGGCTGTTAATAGAGAAAGATGATTACTGTTCTTGCTTAAGTGTCACATAGTTCTCTTGCTTTAAGGAAGAAAAAAAAAAGTGAAGATTGTGGAAGGAAGAGCTGAGAGAGATGCAAATAAGGGCAAGGGAAAAGAGGAAAGGTCCAGTTAAGAAGTGATACAGGTGAGATTTCAGCATCCCATCCACAACAAATCTAAGATGATGATATAGGATCAAAGACTGCAGGCAAGGAAAAACTCAGAGGATCCTTGGGAATCCAGAATGACGACACGGGACTCCTAAACTGATTCATAAACTCACTCAGCAAGGAGAAGGCTGAGGAGAATGCAGCCTCTTGAACACCAAGCGGGTACCAGTGAGTGCATTACCACCAGCAATTATAAAGCTGAGGAGCAAAACTGCAGCCCCAGATCATGGGCTGTGGGTCACTCCTGGCTCACACAGCCACGGGCAATGGTTTGCTGACCCAGGTTGCCGAGTAAAGTGTACAAGCGCATCCGTTTCACGTTTCTGTGTTGGTGATCCACAGCACAATCAGAGGGTTGTCACTGCACTAAAAGTTTTGGGAGCCACAAGACCAAAAGAAGATTAGTGGTAAACCACCAGTAGGCGTTTTAACAGGCAAGGTGTGGCTCCCTTGCACAGCACCTGAAAAGGGGCGCAAAAAAGCCACAGATACAATCCAGATGTACAGAAATGGTAGGGCACACAGCTAAGACAACTTTCTCTTGGAATATCTCCAGTTCCTCCAAGCTAGTTAGTTCTGAGAGGGATTTTTCTGCAGCAATCTATGCTCAATTACCCTTATAAACCCTTGCAATAACATGTGACGAAGTCTACCTATTTCTCTAAGGGAGAAACAAGAAGGGAGTGTGGCAAATGGGGAATGTGGGAGTGGCAAATGATGTGGGCTTGGAAAGCACAGACATTTCCTCCGGTTTCTTCCCTGCTTCTCTCCTCTCCACCTGCCCCCCAGCCTTTGATATGCTGTTGGAAAAGCAAAGGAAGATTACTTTGTTTCCAAGGAGCTATTAATCCATCTGCATTCGCACGTTTTGACATGACTGCACGTTCTTAGCCGAAAGTCTTAGCTGTTTAAGCAGGTGAGGTTATTCTTTGGGGATGAGCTTATTAAAAGGCAAAAGAATACCCAGCGGCAAGGAACAACCCACAGGAGCAAGAAGCGCTTGCAGAGAGAGCGCTTTACTTAGGGAGCCAGCAAAACACTGCTCGCACCATGCGTCTGCTGCACCTTGCGTCTTGGGGTCCGATTCATAATCCACGGGCATCAATGGAAAGACTTCCATGTGCTTTATAGGCAGCGGATCTGGCTCTCTCCATAGTTTTGTTGTTTTTTGTTTGTTTGTTTTCAGCACGCTGCCTAGCAAACAGGCAGAACGCTGGACCAAATCCCCCATCAGCAGAGAGAAAACGGTGACACGCACTCCGGACAAGTACTACTACTAAATAAAAATAAATAAATAAATTTCAGCACGCTGCCTAGCAAACAGGCAGAACGCTGGACCAAATCCCCCATCAGCAGAGAGAAAACGGTGACACGCACTCCGGACAAGTACTACTACTAAATAAAAATAAATAAATAAA